CAGACTAACACGGCTGCTACGCTGAAACCTGCTCAGATGAGGCGGTTGTTAAATAAGGGGGGGAGTCCCCCCCATAAATGTGTTGGTGTAGCAGCTCACCAGCATACATGTTTAGTTCATGTTTTTTTGAGTTGGTCCTACAGTTTGTTCTGGGATGTATCTTGGCCTGTAAGAATAGAACCCAGGAAGTGTTTCCTGTCATTATTCTCATTTTTTATTAAATAGAACAATCTAAAATTGTAAAAGAGTGAAGGTTATTTGTCATGCTCTTAAGCACTGGTATAGTTGAAGTAGTTTACTTCTCCCAAATGAAGGTTAGTGATCAAATGTATTCCTGTTATGGCCCAGTTATTTTAAGAGTGATAAGAAAGCCAGCATTTAATGTCTGAAATGTAGTTGCTGCACACTGACAGCTCAGAGCAATTTAGATGCAATTTTATGTGCACTTCTTCATATTTTTACTCACAGGTATTTAACTTGTATTAAAAAACTTGCATCAGTTCATCTGAGGGAAAACACATAAGAGTTAGTTTTGCAGACTAGTCTAATTTAGTGTCTTTCTACACTGAATGGAAGATCAGTGTTTGGGACTGCAAGGGCTGAGCTATACTGCAAGAACAACCAAAATAAGGGACCCCATGGCAGCTGAGTTATTTCCTGATCCTGTTACAATAATGTTAAAATTTGTAATGTGGACAGGACTAGGCTTGGTAAGCTGGTCAATTGACTGCTCAAATAATATCAATTGACTGGCCAACTATTATTTGACCACCATCAAATATTGTCAACAAATATTCCAGCAAGAATGCCAGGAACTGGGTAGCAGCCTACTCTTTTGATTGCATCCTAGTGCTATCGATTAGCAAGCCTACTTAAATGTCTTGTCATTCACTTTCCTACCTGCTAATGCCATCTGTTTCAATCAGGTGAACTGACTGAAAGCTGAGCATCTTGACCGGGTATAATCTTCAGAACAAACATTCTGTGTACTGTATGTATAGCATTGTATACTAGACCATCAATGTACATGGCAGCTTACAAAGCACACTAAACCAATTAAAAGACGTGCTCCATGTCCCAAAGTGTTTACTACCTAAACTGACTAGACAAACATACAAACTCAGAAGTGAGAGGAGGGTTCAGTCATTAAACCTTCTCCCCTAACACAAAGAAAATAGATGCACAGCCATTAAGCTGCTTGAAGAGTTGGCCTAGCATAAGTACATTTAAAAATAACTTTTTTCTTTTATAGTTGCTATGTGTTTGTTTTTGTTTCTGTTTAATTTCATGTTTCTTTTCTTTTGTAACTGCTAAGTCTTGAGTAACTTCATATTTAAATGCTAACCTAATATTGCTATAAAATATAATCATGCTATCATTTTTTTCAGAACTTCACTTAATTGTGTTTTGCATTTTTCTGAGTTAAAATAACTCAGTTAAGTAACTTGTTTTTTGTACTTAGGTATAAGTATCTATCTAAGATCTATTGGACACCATAAAGTCATACTCTTTTTTGTTACTGTTAATGTTTTGATAAAGTAGTGCTTTACAATATTTGGCTATTTTTGACATTATTTGACTAGTCAATTGACAAGTTATTTTTGGAATGATCAAATGCCCAACCTTAGACTGGACCTTTACATCACAGTTATGTCCCATCCACACTACACCTTTTAATCATGTTGTAACTAGGTTACATGGCTTGATTATTTTTGTAGTACAGAAAGGGTACAAGGCCTTATCTATACAGAGCAGAACTGTGCTTGACAAGTGTTTTTTGAACACTTTTGTAGCTAGTATAGTACTAGTATGACTTCAGTACATATTATGGACAGAGTTCTTTTCAGAGTTACCATACCAACAGAAACCACACAGTGTATTTCACCTCTCCACTTCCAGCAAGTCCATGGCATGGTTTCTGAACACTTGTAACATAGTTTGTTGTTGTGTTGTTTGTAGATGCAAATCATGTGACAACTGTGTTTGAAAATTATTCCAGATGCTGTTATATATCCAAGAGTGGACCAGGCCTGATCTGATATTCTTGAGGCAGCGCTTGAGTCTGAGTGCAGTGAAGGCAGTTTATTCAGTCCTTGAGGGAGAAAAAGACCTCATATTGTTCTGTAATGATTTCTTTTGCTGACTGGTAGAGCAGTGCTAATGGATTCCTGAGGGAGCAACTTCTGGCTTTCCTGGGCTGGATCAACAGTTGACACAATCCAGGGACTTTTAGTATGGGGCTTGATGCAAATTTACCAGACCCCCATTAGTTTAAATACTAAACTTATCAGACAGAGCCAATTATGAGAGATTGGGTTCAGGAGAGCCACCAGCAAATACCAGGAGCAGTTTGCTGCTAAGGAACATAATCCATGACTTCAGACTGATGGAAAGTGGTGAGTGCTGGGATTCTTTCCAAGAAGCTGTCCCTGAACTTTGGTTGGGACCTCTATTTTTTATATCTGCTTTTAGGTGTCTGATAACTTTGAAGCCTTTCCACATCCCTTCTGGCTGCTAGAAGGGAGAAAGCTTTCTTTTTCTAAGCACCTCTGACTGTTAGGGAGGTGTGTGTCTTTAGTATTCTACCCTTTCCCCAGCTTCCATTTGTTTAGGTCCTCCTCTCATGGAGATAGCTGCAGTGCCTGCCTGTAAAGTACTTTTCTCAGACATGACTTTTCTCAGTTTCACTGCTGCCTACAGAGTTATTAAATACCAGCAATGAAACAACCAGAGTCTAGTTAATTTTCATCAGCTGCTGCTTGGAAAAGCAACTTTAAGATGAGTAGGAGTACTGGAACTAGCTATCTGTAGAATTAGTAAGACAGCATCATACTGGTTCATGTTAATATCTTTAAAACTCTACAGGCTTTAAAAAAAAATGAAAGTTTAAGTTCTGCACAAATCAATGTTATAGTCCCTCTAATGCATTAGAAAAGCTCTGTAGAGAGAGGAAGGGATGGTCTTGTGATGAAGGTATTGGACTGAGATATAGGTTAGTTGGATCTTATTCCCAGATCCAGGGCCGGCTCCAGGCACCAACTCAGCAAGCAGGTGCTTGGAGCGGCCAAGGGGAAGGGGCGGCATGTCGGGCTCTTCGGCAGCAATTCGGCGGCAGGTCCCTAGGTCCCTCTTGGAGGGAAGGACCTACCGCCGAAGAAGAAAGCAGCGCGGTGGAGCTACCGCCAAAGTGCTGCTGATCGCAATCCCGGCCTTTTAAAAAAAAATTCCTGCCACTTGGGGCGGCAAAAACCCTGGAACCGACCCTGCCCAGATCTGTCACAGAATTCTT